TCTTTCGCCCTCAGTCTTTCCCAGCATTAGGCTAGTTATCCAGTGAGTTCTTCCTTTTCATTACGTGGTCAAAGTATTTGAGTTTCATCTTCAGGATCTGGCCTTCTAAAGAACAGTCAGGGTTGATTTCCTCTAGGACTGACCAGAATCCTTTACAGAAGGCAAATTATACCCTTTATATTAAACTGTAATCTCTATGCATAGGCGTCATAATCTGGATAACTAGCAATAGAAACCTTTTGAGTTTAATTCCTTGGGTCTATGACAATTCACCATGGCCAGATAGCCATGGCCAGCACACTGTGGCCAACTGATCATGGCTAACTCACCACAGCCAACTTGCCATGGCCAACTCAAGACAACTCATCACAGCACAAGAATTACACTAATATCAAAGAATTGGTGGAATAGAGTCATTAAGGAAAAGATGCAAAGGGAGAGACAGATTGAAATGTGAATGGCAAAAACTAAAATAATTTTTATTTATTTAAAATACTTAAATAGAATTGTTAAAATTGTCCTGCGGTGAGTTTTCCCATGGAAACGGGAAAGCGAGTTGGCATTGACGAGTTGGCTGTTGCAAGTTGGCCATGGTGAGTTGGCCACAGCAAGTTGGCTGTGGCAAGTTATCCAATCCCCTTTCAAGAGCAAGGATGGTTACTCTAGCCATGTCATTTGCTGATGTATCTCCCAAGCACAACTACTTGAAAGGGCACAAAAACCATTAGGGTAGCATTTATTAAATGTTACCCTGAAGCAGGATTGATCCATTCTTCAGAACAGCAGTGAACAGGAAATATTCTGATGCTAAATCAGTCAGCCAATCAATCAAACACTGGGGTCAGTTGTTCCCATCTGGAAAAGTTCATATAAATTAATGCACATTGAAATATCTTGCACAAAGATTGAAGACACTTTAGAAGAAAGCATGCCTTTAAAAAAATGTTTGATTATGTCAGATTTAACCTCTGGACTCTTGCAGAATTGTTTTTGATTACATCAGTTGAACTGATTGGCAGCTTTTAAGACCATGCATACCAGTGGTGGGATTCAAAAGCTTTTACTATCGATTCTGTGGGCGTGGCTTTGTGGGTGTGGCAGGGGAAGGATGCTGTAAAATCTCCATTCCCTTCCCACTCCAGGGGAAGGNCAGTCCCACTGGAACAAAACCCTCCGGCTCTTTGTCACCAGTGGCACTTCCCTCCAGCCTTTGCCCAAAGCCCCACACCAGGAGGCTGAAGCAGACTCTAAGTCGGAATTCCTGCTCCTCTCCTCCTGTCAAAAAGACCCCAAAAGGCAAGATTCTCTGCAGCAATAAAAATGTCCATTACATGTATCTGTCCCAGGGGCCGTAGTTTGAGGACCCCTGATTTAGTGCAATATAAAAATGCAAATAATTTTTTGCGGATCACCAAAATTTTCTCATGGACCTCCAGTGGTCCATGGACCACTAGTTGGTGACCACTGGTATAGGGTCTCCTGCTTGAGCAGGGACTTGGATTAGAAGACTTCCAAGATCCCTTCCAACGTTGTTATTCTATTATTGTACAGATACTGGGCAACCTGTAGTTAATTCCTTAGCCATACACCATTCATAGCCTGCCATCCCACACCTGCAGTTGAGTTGACTATCATGCCTGTAAGGAGATCAAACCAATGGGAAAGCAAAGAAAAGCTCAGAATAAGACATCTGTGCATTGTATAATAATACACTACAGAAAGGGAACAAAGAGAACAAAGAAAAATGCTTATTAGTATTTCAAGTTAAGCATGACCTGAACATAAAATGGTCAGAAAACAAAAGCCCATGGATTCTAACAATTCTTCATTCTTACTCATTCTTACAATCACATGTATATCAGTCACCTTGAGAATGGAGAAGTGTGTGGCTTTTCATAATCATTGGAGTTAGATGGTTCTAAAATTGGATGGATGGAAGAATGGATCGAAGGATGGAAGATAGATAGATAGATAGATAGATAGATAGATAGATAGATAGATAGATAGATAGATAGATAGATAGATAGATATGAGAGAGAGAGATAAGAGAGATAAGAGATGATAGATGGGTAATAGATGATAGATAAGAGAAATGATGGCTAGAAGGATGGATGGATGGATGGATGGATGGATGGATGGATGGATGGATGGATGGATGGATGGATGGATGGANAATTTTTCTTGAAATATAAAAAGTAAATGTGGTATTTTTTCTCAAAATATAAAAAGTAAATGTGGTAATTTTGTGGGCTATAATAAATGAAAATCATATGTGTAAGCAGGGGATTCATTTAGAGAGTCACCATTCTTTCCTACAGACCATGTTTTTTCAATCCAAACTTGAAATACAGGAATCTACCCTCCCTTTCCAACAGAAATGCACACACACACACACACAAACACAAACACAGACACAACCACACACCCACAAACATACACACACACACACATGCACACACTTAATTATCCCATGTTACCAGTGGTGGGATTCAAATTTTTTACTATGGGCTCTGTGAGCGTGGCTTGGTGGATGTGGCGTGGCTTGGTGGATGTGGCATGGCTTGGTGGGCGTGGCATGGTGGGCGTGGCAGGGGAAGGTTACTGCAAAATCCCCATTCCCTCCCAATCAGCTTTGACTCCAGAGGCAGAGAAAAGATGGGGGCGGGGCCAGTCAGAGGTGGTATTTGCCGGTTCTCCGAAATATCCGCTACCGGTTCTCCAGAACTGGTCAGAACCTGCTGAATACCACCTCTGATACACACACATAATTATCCCATGTTACATTTAGTTTGGATTCCACCTTAACAAAGACAAGGGAAACTCAGCATATTTTTTTCAAACATTGGAGTTACAAAGCATTGCGAAGGTATTAAAATGACTCTCTCTTTTCACAATGGTCCTGTGTTAGTCCTTTCAACAGGTCTGGATCTCCTCGACCTCAGTGAACCTGTTTCCCAAACCCAAAGCAAAGTGAAGAAGTGGGAGAATTCCTCAAGAAGGGAAAGCTTGAAAGGATCGACCCTCAGAAGAAAGACGGACAAACCAGATCTTATCTTTGTAGACACCGAACAAAAGATCCAACCACTCAAGGGTCCAGAGAAATCATTGGATTTAGGTATGTAGTTTTTACCTGCAACAGGGACCATGATCAGGAAGACGGTAGACAGAGCATGGTATTGCTAGACATATCCACCATCTTTAGGGGCAGCGATGGCCCAGTGGTTAAAGAGACTGAGCTTGTCAGCAGGAAAGCTGACAGCCCGGGTTGGAGACCCAAGTGCCGCATGACAGGGTGATCTCCCATTACCTGTCCCAGCTCCTGCCAACCTAGCAATTCAAAAGCATGCAAATGCAAGTAGATAAATAGGTACCATTTCGGTGGGAAGGTAATGGTGTTCCATGTGCCTCATGCTGGCCAAATGACCATGTAAGTATCTTTGGACAACAGCACCTCCCTGGGCTAGGAAACAGAGATGAATACTGCCTCCCTTCTGCACATTTGTGTGGTCTTCCATGCATGCACTTTGCTCGCACACACAGCTTGTATGTATATGGCTAAACATGGCTAAATAGAATGACATAGAGCCAGGGCGGGTGGGTGTGCCACCCGCAGGTCGCCCCTACCAGTTCGCCCGAATCGGTCTGAACCAACTGAATACCACACTGCCTGGTACCCTTCAGATGGGCTAGATTAGAAGTCCCATGTTTTTGTCTAGGGGAGGATGCTGGGAGTTGTAGTTCAACACAGGTAGAAGGGATCCAGCTGGAAGAAGCAGCATACAAAATGCTGGACCTTCACAGTTGTGGCCTCTAATGATCTACAGCTCTTCTAAGGTTCTTCTTCTCCAGCTGGTTTTATGGATCAGGGGAAAAAGTCGTTCTTTTTCAGAGAATAGCTTCAACTTGTTACTCTGTTTATCTGCTGACCTTTGAAATTACTTCACTATGTTCACACAAGCTTAACCAACCTGTTTTATTCATTTCATTTCATTTAATTTATTGAGCTTGTATGCTGCCCACTCCCGAAGGACTCCGGGCGGCTTACAATAAAACAAGGGAGGGGGATAATACACAAGACTGTTAAATTAAGTGTACATTTTCTAAATGTATATATTATACTCCCACCGCACTATCAAACTGTCTAGTAAGGCTGTATTATTACTACAATTCTTCTCATCTTTCCTATTACCTATCTCCTTTTCTACTTATGACCATAACTTCGTTGCTTGTATCTCTACGATTTATATTGTTTTATTAGTTTTCCTAGTGTGATTTATGTTGATTGCTTATTTAGTATCCTATGGCTATCACTAAGAGTTGTATCGTATGATTTATGACAAATGTATTTTTAGGATGACTATGATCATGATTTATCACTTATAGCTTTTATGTACAATCTTATGCACCGAAGACAAATTCCTTGTGTGTCCAATCACTCTTGGCCAATAAAGAATATGCTATGCTGTGCTGTGCTGTGCTATTATTCTATTATTACTCTATTATTCTATTCTATTCTATTTTCTACTCTACTCTACTCTACTCTACTCCACTCCACTCCACTCCACTCCACTCTATACTACACTACACTACTCTACTCTACTCTACTCTACTCTACTCTACTCTCTACTCTACTACACTACACTACACTACACTACACTACACTACACTACACTACACTACACTACACTACACTACACTACACTCTACACTATTCTACACTATATTACTCTACTCTACTCTATTTTATATTGAACTATAAATGTGTCTGGGTTTGTGCTTCTCCCAACCCAACTAAAATACACCTAAGTTTAAATCTAACTAAGTTTAGTAGTTGATGCAAATGCAGCCACCAAGTTGTTATCCCCTAACTGGTTAAGGCTTTTATTGTATTCTCTATTGCAACGCAGCATACATAAAAATCACAGAGAAGGGGCTTGGGACAATTTCCTCCTTTCTTTGGTTTTGAGGAGGAAAAAAAATCTATTTCTCCGATGCCCTTTTCCTGCACTGAGTTAGCTAACCTTTCTGAAATGGAAAAACCAATCCAGGTCAGCCGTAATTCATGCTGAAATAAAAGATCATCATTCCAGTCCAGACAATAGGCTGGACCAAGAAGTCAAATGAACATCTTGGAAGAAAGAAGTACAGGCAGTCCTTGACTTACAACAGTTCATTTAGTGACTGTTCAAAGTTACGATGGCACTGAAAAATGTGACTTACGACCGTTTTTCAGTTACGACCTTTGCAGCATCCCCATGGACATGTGATCAACATTCAGATGATTGACAACTGGTTCGTCTTTATGACAGTTGCTATGTCCCAAGATCATGTGATCCACAAGCAAAGTCAGTGGGGAAGCCAGATTCACTTAGCAACTGGCTTACTAACTTATCAACTGCAATAATTCGCTTAACAACTGTGGCAAGTAAAGCTTCTGAATTTTGATCATGCGACCATGGGAATGCAGCCACGCCAAATGAAAGAAACAGAGTTTTAAAAAGTTATGACAATTACCTAGTTACTTACCAAACGCATCTAAATTATATTAAAGTAACCAAAACATCTTTACAATCCCCAAGGAATGTCGCAACTTTTCAGCCCCCCTAATGTTTGGAAATTGAAAGTTGAAAAATTTGACACACCCTACCTGAGTGCAACGGTTGTAAGTGTGAAAAAAACAGTCATAAGTCACTGTTTTCAGTGCCGACGTAACTTTGAATGGTCGCTAAACAAATTGTTGTAGGTCGAGGACCACCTGTAGCTAGCCATTCTTGCTGTTGCTAATAAAACTACAAGGCTCCTAGGTTGAAGAGAGTCTTCATATATGCTTTTCTTCTGAAAATTCGTTTTCTTTTCTTTTATCTAGCCAATATCCAGGCTCAACTAGAAAAATGGGATGAAGTCAAGCATCGTGGAGAAAGAGCTGGCAAAGGTTCTTCAGGTTCTGAGAGAAAATCATCCACTTCTAAAGCGCCACCCAAAGAATTTGTGTGGTAATTTGTACTTTTAACTTTATCTGAGGCCAATCCTGGCATTGGATGAGATCAACCATCTTTCTGTACCATCCTAAGCGTGAGAACAACCAGTGGAACAGAAGTTGCCTTCAGAGGTTGTGGGTGCTCCATTGCTGGAGGTTTTTAAGAAGAGATTGGACATCCACTTGTCTGAAATGGTATAGGGCAGGGGTCACAACCTTTCGGACCTCAGGGACCACTAAATTCATAATTTTAAATCCCGCAGACCATTAATATGATCTGCCTAATGACCAGCTGGGTGGGTGTGGCCAGGTGGTCATGTGACTGGGTGGGCGTGGTCAACTCAATGTCACTTATGTCGAGGGGCACCTCTCCAGCCTCTACTCGCCACTCCTCGCCTGCCCACCCGTGCTCCTTAGGGCCCCAATAGAAAGCATTTGTTGGAGCTACGTAGCTACCACGAGAAAGAGTTGGCAAAGCAGTTCAGTTCAAATTGGATCTGACCAAGAAGGAGGCTCAGCAGAAGCACCTCACTGAGGACTACGAGCATAGGCTTTCCAAGCAGAGGGAAGACCTGTGGGAGTGCAAGGCCAGGTATTGGCACCTGGAGGCTCAGCAGGCTCAGATGGTCAGCCAGTTGCAGACCATGATGCAGTCCCACTGGAACAAGGCCGCCTGGCACTTCTCTCCAGCCTTCACCCAAAGCCC